AGATAGTACACTGTTTCTGCAATGAGGCATTTTACTGAATGCTTTAGAAGTTTTTTCCAGGTCTGCTTTCCTAAAGCTTCTGCAACTTTTAAATTGGCTACAGAATATCTACTGCAGACCTCAAACCCAAACGCAAGGTTATGGAAAGCAGAAAGTCACAGATACACTGTGCAAAGACCACAGCAAGAGCTCACAGACAGACTGTGCCTGGATGATTCCTGCCGTGGTGCAGTCAAGGGAAGGAGTACAGCAGAGAGGTGTTTCATGGCAGCGTTTGACACTGCAAAGGCTATGTGAAAAGACACACAGAGCTGAATAAAGACACGGGACTAATACGGTGGCAGATAACATATCACCTGCTTGAAGAAAAAGACAAGGGCAATAGCAGTAAGAAATTAGTACAGCAAGAAGAAACTACAGAAAATTCAGTAGAGAAGCAATCTGAACTTAAGTACTTTACTCACTTCTTGCTTGCCTGAGCAGTTTTACGGATAAGTGACATCGTATAGTCTTCATTCATACACATGGTATGTTCACTAATGCCAAAGTGCTCCAGTTTTGGTGTTACGCATTCATAATCGTCCATCTTCAGCATACATTTTGGTGTTTTGGGCAAACTACAGGGCTGCTGTGGTTTTAGTGGAGTCCTGTTCTTTGAATTTTCTTGGTATGCATTTGTGGTGTGCTGGCCTTTCACTGCACTCCAAGCCCTGGAGAAAGCATATCGTGAAAGACCGAAGTCAGAAAGCCGGGGGTTACGCAGTGGGTCTTTGGGCACTAGTGGCTTCTCGGTACAAGCTGGAAGATGAGGTACATCATCCACTTTTTCTTCATCAGATTTAGTCTGGACAGACCCTGTTGAATCACTGTTCACTTCTTCCCTCTCTTCTGTTTGAGAAGTCATAGTTAAAAAAAAAAAGTCAGAAGATTCTGTTTTAAGAATTTATAAAATAAATTTGGGCTCCCCCCAGTTTAAAATTTTTTATTTATTGTAAAAAATAGATTCCTTCTTTCATTTTAAAGCACTGAACCTCAAGCTGCAACACATATCAAAATCCCATATCAGGCTAAGCTGTATTTAGAATATAGGCCAGTCACACCTATACCAACTTTCACTGTATTGGTAAATATTATTTCTAGGAAAAGTGTATTTTTAATAGAATTGATCTCTCTGTATGGATCAGGCAGGAAGTGCTAATCTTAAATATATTTATTTGGTTTTATTTCAGTGTAAGAGTGGAAATTCATTAAAATTGTACAACATGAATGACAATGAAAACAAAATTTGTCTAGAACTGAAAATGTTTTTGGGCGAAGAGCAAAGGCTGCACAGAGTACTAGAATGTTCATTCTTCAGAAAAGCAGTATTGAAGAAAGGTTATGAAGCAGCAACAAAAACTTATGAAAGAGGGTAGATTTTTAGGTACAAGAAGAGTCTGTTACAGAAATAAGCAAATGTGTAATTTGTATATTTCTGTAGTTAGATAAACTGAAACACACCAAAATATTTGTGAATTTCTTCATGATGCAAGAAGCTGGGGAAAAAAAAGCTATTTAAAATAACACAGCAGAGGCATTACCTTTGTATGTGTATTGATATTACATATTCAGATACACTTAGCTTAAAAATACATCTTAAAAAATAGATAAACCTTGTAGCTCTGTTTGGAGTCTTCTTTAAAAGCAGAGAGAGGACAGGAAGGAAGGTACTAGAGAGTCAGAGCCTTCTGCCGTATTTTTGTAAACCAGTTGTAGTAGCTTAACTCAGAGGTGAATATGGTCCACAATCATAAGGACTGGCTAACGCTCCAGCGAAGGTTAAGGCGTGCCCTGCCAAAGGCTTCTTGACGATTGATTGGGCCCTCGACCAAACTGGGTACATGCAGTACTGACAGTTGTAGTTTTTCAACTCATTCTCCGTATCTGGATTTTTCACACAGGTGCACGTGCATTTTCTGACAGGATTAAGGCTCTTCCCTTCCCCAATGAGCAAGCTACTACTGCTCGCTACATAGAATCGTAGAATCACTGAACAGTTTCGGTTGGAAGAGACCTTCAAGATCATTAAGTCCAACCTTTGTCCTAGCTCTACCAACACCACTCAACCATGTCCCTAAGTACAACATCTACCCATCTCTTACACCACCTCCCTGGGCAGGCTGTTCCAATGCCTGACAACCCTTTCAGTAAAGAAATTCTTCCTAATATCCAGCCTGAACCTCCCCTGGTGCAGCTTAAGGCCATTTCCATGTGTCACCTAAACCCCGTATGTGCTTCTCTTGTCCCATTTGTGCTGTGGAGCACATTATTTTAAGATTTTCTTTATGGTGATTTAAGTTAATGGAATCATCACATATGAATACAGACTACTTCGGATGCATCTACAATAGTTTCCCATGCATGAGAAGCTGAAGCAGCATAATTATCTGGGTTATGAAAATATGTTTGCTAACATGTTTTCTGAATATAACTACTAGTGGAGAAAAAAAAACAACAAAGCCAAACCCACACACTAACTTAAAGCAAATAACATAGATGTACTTAATCTCTTTATTAACAGAAATCTACACATAGCCAAAGAGAAACATTTTAGAACATCACATTTGTTTTCACATACTGCATTGCCAAGAAATATTACCTGTAGAGTCTTTGACATGTGGTTTATAGCCATATTTCTGGAACAGTTCTCTTATTTTTCCAAGATCTGTTGCATTTCTTTGCATCAATATTTTGCTTGCCTTCATAAACTCATGAATTGCTTGTTTTTCAGAGCAACTCTTACCAAGACTGGCATTAATATCTTCCTTTGGGGGTGGAGGGGGAGGAAAACAGAAATATTGGTTTTCGAGTCACCACATGGTAGTTTTTCCACACACTGTTTTGGAAATAAGTATTGAACTTCAATTCAGATGAGGACAAGGAGCAAATTTAGATTTTATCTATACCTGAAAACTAGGTTACAAAATACCAGGAATATATAGGGCTTGAGTGTACAAAAAATTACAAAAGGTGAACTAGGATGACAGTTCACAGTATGATAATTGCTTACTGGTAATCAGTCAAACAAAAATGTATGCTTTTACTCCATAAAAATAGGAGACAACGGCAATTAGTTTGGACTCTTACTCCCCATGTACAAAGAATTAGTGCAAAGCAGATTGTAAACCTCAAGTTTATATCCTATTTACCTCTCAAGTATTTCTACATATGCTCATTTCCATAGCCCATTTTTCCTACATAAAGAACATTCTTCACAAGTTTAACTGAAAGGCTGAAGGTACTGAAACTTCTGTGGAGATTGCCTTTATTTGAAGTGCTAGTCTTTAAACACAAACAAGCATACCTCTTCTCTAGGGAGCTGCTGCTCCAGAATCCTTCTCCCCTATATCTACGCGTTGGCACAGCTACAACTTCTGTTACCTTTGTCATCTGCTGATCAGAGTGACGTCAGCAATTGCAAACTAATAAATACTGCTAAATCTACTTTAAGTCACCCAGAAGCTTTTGGGCACTACCCCCACATCCACAGCCACTACGAGAACTCAGAGGTTGTATTGTGGCCTAATGATGAAAATAGAACCATAAGTTTATAGGACGCTCCCCTCCCCTAATTTTTCAAGAAGGAAGCATGTTAAGACATTACCTTCAGAGTCCTGATTTCACAGTGGAGGTCGTGTAAGACTCTTCCTGGAGGTTCGTCTTCATAGTCTTTGATATGCATATTCACATAAAAGGGTTTGGAAAGAAAAAAAAAGGGGGGATTAGTGTTTTAGCACGCAAGTACATTCTCCACCAGAACAAAATCTCTTGTATTAGACATGTTGGAGTCATACGTCAGAGAAACAGAGTCAAGATAAAGAAAACCAAAGAGAAACCAGTTTGCATCAGGTACCTTCCACAGCATGAGACTGCAGTTTGCACAGTATGTTAAACTACACCCTGAAACCGCACAGACTTCCACTTTACTGATGCAGATAGCACTGTAAAAATTAATCTGCAGCAGATGTTGGTACAATAGGTAGGTCCTTGGGCTATCAAGGGTTATTTATGCTAAATTTTTATCCTTAAAGAACTTGAAATAATAATAAATTGTAGAAAAAAGTGATATAGACACCACTGAAAAACACACACCAACAAAAAGCTGAATTCTTCTGCCTTATTTGCACATGGACAGATGTTAGCAGTGTTCCCCTAAACATGCAGCAGCTATTATTTATCTCACTGAAAATGAAAGTTAACGCAAATAGTGTAAAAGAGGACACCTGCTATGTGAGAAGACATTGCACAGCAATAAATCTACTTAGAAGCTTGAGCTATGTGGGGGATCTCAGCTGGACTGAGGCCCCTGGACAGGACAACTTTGACCTTGAGAGGATTCCAGTCTACCTGTGAGAGAACAGACAGGAGCAAGAAGATCTGCAGCTGCAAGATAAGCAAGTTCTGAGAAAGTGTCAACCGTAAGACAAGGCATACATGTCCTTTTGGCAGAAGAGCTGAGTTATAATGAACTGTACAAATAGCAAATGATAAGATTGCATAACAATTCTGAACCAATTATAAAGAGACACATCTGGGAAAGCTAAGTGGGAAAAAGTATAAATGAACTGCCAATAAAGGCTTTTGTACTAACAGGCTTTCAAAAAGATTTGTTGTCTTGTCGCTTTGTCCGTCTCGACCGCGACAGAGCTATCTGTGCGGAGAGAGAACAAGCCCTGCAAATGTGTTTTCCTGTCTCAATCCATGAAAAGGAGTAAAAGCAAGAAGGTGATTCCCATTTCATCCCGCTTTTCCCCGTGAGAAAAGCTCACCTACACACCCACAAAGGAGCTTAGAGAAACAAGGATAAGAGGTGGAGCCCAAATAATACCCTGCCGAGCTACCGATCCCCAGAGCCATGAGCCCACCAAAGGCCCATCTGTGCACGGCCAGAGGAGCACAGGGCCGCAGTGGCAGGGAACCCAAATGAAGGATTCCTGACGAACAAACGCGGGGGGTGTGTGGGGTGTGTGTGAGTACCGGGCTATCCCAGCAGAGCCATCAGCCCCAGCGTCCATCGCCACCGAGAGCAACCCCCCAGACCACCCGAGTCGGGGTCCTGCTGCCCGGAGGTGGGGTGGACCCGCCAGCAGGAGCCCCGGAGCAGGCCTGCGGCCCTGGGATGGGGAGTGGACCTGGCCGCCCCGGCCTGCGCTTACCCGTGTCCTCTCTGCGTAGGGCCCGCTCGAGCTGCCTTGCCTCCTTCTCCAGCGTGAGGGCCAGGGCGCGCAGCTTACTGAAGAAGTCCCTCGACACGTCCATGGCCCACGGGGAAGGGGCGCAACCAGGGGCGACCTCAGCCCCCCACCCC